GATACACCCTGAAGGAGGGGGGGCTTAGGTCACCAGGGATACACCCTGAAGGAGGGGCTTAGGACACCAGGGATACACCCTGAAGGAGGGGCTTAGGTCACCATGGATACACCCTGAAGGAGGAGGGGCTTAGGTCACCAGGGATACACCCTGAAGGAGGAGGGGCTTAGGACACCAGGGATACACCCTGAAGGAGGCGGGGCTTAGGTCACTAGGGATACACCCTGAAGGAGGAGGGGCTTAGGTCACCAGGGATACACCCTGAAGGAGGAGGGGCTTAGGTCACCAGGGATACACCCTGAAGAAGGCTGGAACCCTGCTTCCTCCCACTCTCCCCGGCTCCCTGGCTGCAGGAGGTGAGCGGTCTGGCTTCATCACGTGCTTTTTGCCATGACTCTGCCTCACCTCAGGCCCGGTACGAGGAAGCCAAGTGATCATGGACTGAAGCCTCCAAATCTGAGCTAAAATAAACCCTCCTCCTTTTGAGTTGATGGCTGCCCCAAGCATTTACCTCCGTTATGGAAAGTCCACTAACATACTTCACTACTACAACAGTGTTCTGTGTAAGAGTTCCTCTCTTTCTCTGTGTATCCATGCATGTTTGCATCTCCATGGCGCATCCGAGGCCTGGTACATGTACACACGTACACACGTACATGTGGAGGCCAGAGGCTGATGTCAGGTGTCTTTCTCGTGTGTGTGTGTGTGTGTGTGTGTGTGTGTGTGTGTGTGTGTGTGTGTCCTGCCCTGTGAGATACGGGGCTTGCTAACATTCCTGACAAGCAGAAGTCAAGCCCTAGAACCTACATTATAGAAGGAGAGAACTAAATCTCCTTGTCCTCCGCCCTCCATAGGTATCCTGTGGCACATGTGTCCCCCTCCACATAACCACATACATAGAATATAATGTAATTTTGAAAAATTGAGTATCCCTACTCAGATCAAATCCAACCTCTGGATTTAGAAAACACCAATTCAACTACATCAGTCAGTCCCAGAAGAATCTCACTAGGCTCAAGCTGGGCTCCAAGGTGACCCCGCCGCACCTCCTCTCATGTTAAACGAGCGCTTTACCTTGGAGCTCTGTCCCGAGCAGCCTCCTTTTTAATTTTGGTGTTTTCTATAAATGCCCCTCATAATCTTTATGCATGCTAAATTTTGGGAACCTCTCCAACGGAACAGATGTGAAAGTCAGAGAAACCAGCAAGCAGACACAGGCAAGATTTGAACTGGAGGCTTTTCTTCTTCTTTAGCCACCTTTTAAAATAGACGTTTTATTTGTTCTTGGAGACTTTTGTACATGTGTGCAGTGTGGCCTGGTGACACCGAGGGGAACCAGGAGTTAGAAGTAAGGTCGGTGGCGCGGTTCTCCGACTCCTTCGTGTCAACGCTCCTTCCTGCCCGACTCCGTCAGGCTGCTTGCATCAGCGTGCCGATGCTGTCTTCTACCTCTGACAGCCTCGTCAGGACTTGCTTGACTTTAACCTCATCAAATTCCAGACACAGAAATTCAGATTCCTGTAAAACATAAAAGGTTGTGTCAGAAGAAACCTGCAAGAGAGCTGCAGTGGTTTGGAGGAGAATGGCCTCCACAGGGTCGTTTGTACAGTCACAAGCTTAGTCCCCAACTGAAGAACTGTTTGGAAAGACTTAGGAAGTGTGGCACTGGTGAGGGGCTGTCACTGGGGATGGGCTTTACGGTGTCAAAAGCTCACACCAAGACCACTCTCTCTCACCTACTGCTCCAGTGCTATGCCTGTCTGCTGCCTGCCATGATGACCATGGACTAACCTCTAAAACTGTAACAGAGTCCCCAAATTAAATGCTTTCTTTTATAAGCTGCCTTGGTCATGGCGTCTCCTCAAAGTGGAGAACAGAAAGCAAGTCTATAGCTACGGCTCTTCACCTGGCATGAGCAAGGGAGTCCAGGGTCCCTGTGCAGCGAGCCAGACTCGGGCCTTTAAACCTATGCGATATTTTACCATGCAAAGCAAACCCACAGTGTCCTCAGTGACACCAAGGGTAAACACAGACAGGTGCCACCGGTCTCTGTAGTTGGAAGTTTTCCTGTCCCGCTTGCTTGGCCCGTGGTCAGGTCAAATCTCCCTCACTTTCTGTGTCCTGCCTGGCCTGCAGTCAGGACAAATCTCTCACCCACAGTCTCAAAGCCTTTTATAAAATTATAAAATAATTGCACAGAGGCTTAATATTAATTATAACTGCTTGGCCATTTGTTCAGGCTTATTACTGACTGGCTCTTACACTTAAATTAACCCATAATTCTTATCTATGTCCAGCCTTGTCATCTTGCTTCCTCTGTGTCTGGCTGGCAACTCCTGACTCAGCCTTTCCTCTTCCCAGCATGATCATCCAGTTTAAACTAAATTATACCACTAACAAATGCTTTTCATTTAATCAGATATAACTTGCCAAAAAGGAACCTCCCCAAAGTTAGGCTTGGGGAAGGGCTTTTGTTTTTGTCTTTCAGGAGAATGAAGGCTAAGGAATCTGAAGAACACTGGGCAAATGAGATATCTGAAGAAAAAGGACAAATCATCTAGGAAAAAATATCCCAAGAAAAGGAGTAAATTGGTCTATTGGTATATCACATATAAAATTTCATAAGTCTTCCTAAATGTTTGTTTCTGCTCTTCTCTACAGACACTTAACACAAATGTTCTTTATGTAGTCCCAGTTCAATTAAAAATTAAAGCTGACTTTAGAATTGGAGAATGGCTCTCTCCTTCTCTAAACCCAAGCATGTTTGTTAAAAGAAAAATGCAAAATCGCTGTATCATATCAGAAGAAAGAGCCATCTAATATGGGACAGAAGAAAACCAAAATTAAGGGACTATTCTATTGCCATGGATCTTAATTCTTTGGTTCTATTTTGATTCTTTAAATGTTTCTTAAGGTATGAATTTTATATCATAATTTATAAGATTTATATATATATATATTAAACTTTTGTTATGATATTAATAGTCATATAGAGTACTAACTAATTCTAGGGGAAAAAAGGCTTCATTTATCTGCCTGTAGATGTTTTTGTGTTGGAGTCTCTATCAGTTTTCTGCAGGAAATCATGACCAGACCTAACTGCAACTTTGAAATCTCCAGAAAGATGATGGAGCCCCACAATGATTCCACGTGGACAATAATAATACCACTAAGCTGACAAGCATCATCCAAGGATCAGCTTTGGACTACAAACTGCTCAGGACAATTTCGAGATGGCTAGCTGAGATGATCCAGCCTTACAGACTATTTGAGCGAGGACTTGAGATAAGCCCTGCACTTTGGCATTATGCAGAGACTGGACAACAAATGATAAAGCTACCTCTCCCAGAACTTGACAATTAACCCCAAAAGTTTCTTTTTAGGATCCCCTAAAGATGCCTTCACCCACAAACAGCAGGAAGCAATTTTAAGAACACGACACCCACATTTCCAAGAGGTTTATGGTTTTTCAATGGGTTTTGGGTTTGGGATAATTGTTTAGGATGGTTGGTTACAAGTTGTTATTGTTTTTTTTTGTTTGTTTGTTTGTTTTTTTGTTTTTTTTGTTTTTTGAGACAGGGTTTCTCTGTGTAGCTTTGCGCCTTTTCCTGGAACTCACTTGGTAGTCCAGGCTGGCCTCGAACTCACAGAGATCCGCCTGGCTCTGCCTCCCGAGTGCTGGGATTAAAGGCGTGCGCCACCACCGCCCGGCATACAAGTTGTTATTGTTAATGGTCAGGAAAGAAGCTAAACAAAGAAGATTAGATTTAAGGTTCTTGTTTGAAAAAAAAAAGAAAGAAAAGAAAAAAGAGGATATAGATAAGAGGTAGATTATTGAATCTACTCTGAAAAAAAATATAGAAATGATAGAATAAAGGGTAGATTGAATCTACTCTGAAAAGAAAAAAGAGATGATATAGACATAATACAGATAAAAAGGTAATTACTGAATTTACTTTTAAAAGACAACTACTAGTTTTAAATATTTTACATTGGATTGGATTTTTATATATTGTATACAAAATATATATATTGATACAAATTTGAGATTGATTTTGTTAGAAAATGCTGTACATATATTTCTAATCTTGTTCACGATATTGTACCTATACAGTTCATTTAACAATGTAATGCAATTTGCTAATCCTTGAATGTTATTATTATCAATGATTAGGATATAAAGAAATGAAAGTCAGTAGTTAGATATTACAATAAAACTTGTAGTCATATTAGGTATGTTTTCAAGGTCAAGCAGAGATATATTTTAGATAGACAGGTCATCTTCAGTCCCTTCAGAGATCTACAGAATATGGCATTTAAGATGTTTTAATAACATAGATTTTTTTTTCTTTTTTTTTATGACTATGAGACATTTCTGCTCCTGGCAGCACCAATCTACTTCAGAGAAGATATGGGCATTGAAGAAAATGCATATGGACTTAACTTTCATTGTGGCAAAGTTAGTGACTGGGCCACAAAATGTCCTCGCATTGACTGCCAACAGTATGCTATCCAAAATGGACAGACAGGACACAAAACAAAGGACTACTGATCTTTGCCAAGACAAGTGTGGTTGTGGCTTTGGCAACAGGTGTCCTCTGAGGCCAGGACAATATGGCACCATCGCTGAAGTGGCTTTGCAATCTGGAAGAGGTACAGTACCCCTTTCTTCAAAGGCAGCTGAACAGGCAATGGCTTCTGGTGTGCAGTGGAACAGTAGCTGAAAAAGTTATTCTTGAAAGAGTAACTAGGCTGATAGAGTCTAACCTCTCAATGATAGACTGGCATTTAATAAAAGAGATGAAGCCACCCACAAGCCAAGAAGAATGGGATGCGGAGAAGAATGGGATGCCGAGATGAAGCCATCCACAAGCCAAGAAGAATGGACAGCTGAAATACAAAAACACCAGCAATTTCCAGAATTTAAAATCCTGAATCATGGCAGGTCACTGGTGGAATTCAAGTTTATCTGGTACATGGAATACTTGCACCGAATGTGAGGTCAAGCTGTGGGCCTTGCGTACATCCTACTTCACAAATGAGTCTGTCAGATATGCTAAACCTGTAGTCCGAAGATGATGCCCCAACATGCAGAGAAACCTCAGGTGACTGTCCAGGATGCTGACTGTTTCCATCATAACTCATTTTTTGGAAGTCACTTGTTCGCACTTCCTGTTTTACTAGGTAATATTATTTCCTTCTCTGGTCTCTGAGGAGTTGAAGATTAGATAGTTATAGTTACAGTCTTCTTTGTTAAGAAATTCAGAAAAGAAACTAAGAGATGTTAAGTATGTAAGTTTGAAAGACATCATAAGATATTTTCTGTTGGTAATATAAGTTAGGATAGAAAGTGAATTAGGTATATTTTGGACTCACCAAAATATAACAGATAATGGAATATTTTCTCTGAATTTGTCAAATGCAAATAGATTAGACATTGTTGATGTATTTATTGCTTGTATATATTGTATACAGTTATTGTACTTATTGTGTATAGTTTTTCTTGTATTAGTTATAACTTTTCTATTTTTATTAGACAAAAAAGGGGAAATGTGATATTTTATTTGTACTTTAATAAATAAAGTTTGCCTGGAGATCAGAGGAAATAGCAAGCCATTTTAAGTAAACAAAGAAGTTGGGCAGTGGTAGCACATGCCCTTAATCCTATCACTTAGGATCTCTGTGTGTTCACGGCCACACCCTAGGGAACAGAGCCAAGTGTGGTGACACACGCATTTAATCCCAGTACCAACCATAGAGGCCTGGAGGTCTGTACAGACAGAAAGTGACAGAGCTGTGTAGGAAGAGGAAGTGAGGCAGCTGGGCTAAGATAACCAATGAGAGGGCAGAACAGCAAGGCAATAAAGGCGTGGGTAGACAGGAAGTAACTCATATTTGGAAGCTGCAGAGTTGGTGAGGTAAGGTTGGCTGGAGGCTTTCCCTATTTCCCTGATCTCTCTAAGACTTTCACCCCTATATTCGGCTGCATGTTTTTTATTTAATAAGACCATTTAGAAATTCATCTACAGTTCCCATTAGGAGAGGTTCTGTCTGGCAGCTCAATTGATGCTGGTACAACTTTAAGGTAAGTGCTTAGGTATTGCTCCTTTGTGGATGAAAACTGAGGGCAGGAAAGGTTAACGTCCATCTGAAGAATTTTAAATGGCACAGTCAGATACTCAACCCCCGGCTCTGGCTGACTTCAGAGTCAGTGCTGCCCCACCTTATATAATAATGAAAGAACTGTGATTTGTCCCAAGTTAGCCTGGGCCAACTGTGACTCCATTAGCTAGACATCTAAAAAATGACCAGATCTTGAAAAAGCAACAGCTATTTCTCAGGTCCTTCTCCATGCTGGAAGACCTCCCTCACAGATCTCCTTCCAACACATCCCCTTCAATCACTCAGGATTGGTGAGCCAATCTTAGGTTAGATAAATATCAAATCTAAGGCCTCTGAAGTATGTGGCAGAAATCTCACACACCCCAATAAACTCTGACTCTGAACTGTCTTGAAGA